TCACCCATTTCCCTTCTACCAGTGAGGACCAATTCTACATGTCAGCTTTAGCAAGGGATATGGCGGAAAAGCAGCAAAGTGAGAACCGTAGTGACACGCTGCAGCCATCCTTTAGTGACAAAAGATGCAGTAGCATTAACCAGTGCAATAAAGCAGCATGCATTTAGGTCAGGCCTAATTTGGGGCTTTGTAGTGAATCCATGCATGCATGATGTTTTCAGTTTCTTGTTGCTTTTAGGTGGATGGGAAAAGGGCTTACGTGTCTGCAAGGTGGCTTGGTTTCGACTTGGATATCACCTGAGCTCTTAGTGAAGGAGGTTGAACCTCTCTCTTCAGCTTTTTTTCTTGACATCTGTGGGAGGAGAAGGCAGGCATTGAGTTGGGAAGTTGTCTCAGCCTCTTAACAGTGTAATGAAAACTTTCAGAAACCCTGGGAAGGGTGGAGTGTCTGGTGGCTGGCCATTTCTGGGTATGGTGTTGAGCCTGTGCTTAAAGTATGGAGGCTGAGGTGCACAGGTAGAGACTAATGTGGACTCAAAGTCTTTTGGGGGAAAACCAGGAATTCCGTGGGTATTACTGTGTTGCACGCCAGTAGCACACTAAACAAATTGCTGGAGGTCTTGACATTGCAGTGGCTTAACCGTGACTGGGAAAACCATTTGATTCACTTGTTGATTATTTTTCTAAGCATGAGAATTTAATAGCATCAGTGAAGGGAGGTTACTGTTCCTGCTATAATATCTTCCCAGTTTTGGTTTGTGTGAGTTATGTTACGTGCCCTTTACACTGGCCAAAGTGTAAGAGTCATTCTGTGTAAAAATGATACATATGTTCCATAAAAGCAAAATTGCATTTGAGAAGGATGTATCCATCTGTAATAAGCAGAATAAGGAGGAAAAGTACTGTCAGAAAAAGATGGATTTATCTTTTGTGTAAGACCAGCAGAGAATATATGTAGGAAACAGGAAACTGAATAAAATGATTTAGTACTGAGCTTCCCAAGAGATGCCCTTCTGCAGTTGCAGTATGGAGAGGTCTTTGTGTTCCTGTAAATGTAAAAAAGCTGCTGACAAGTGCTTAGCTTCAATGCTTCTTTTTCCATGCTTTACTCCAGCTGAACCTTGATGTCTATGCACAGCAAAACCTGCTTTATTTACTTTGGAATTAGAGGGGAAGAATCTGTCTACACAGGCATGTGTGTGTGTGTACTGCTTTCTAAGAGGATACATTGAATATTTATGGAGAGATGGCAATGAGTATGATGTCTATCTAAGGTTTTAAATTTTAAATTCAAATGGTGGACTGTGAATAAGGAATTTGAATATTTACTGTTATGGATTATTTAACTGTACATATAAAAGCAAAACTTAGAAAGGTGTAGTAATTTCTTCCCCTTGCTTATGTTATAGCACAAGTGTTTCTGATTAGCAGCATTTTGGTCTAGAAGCTGACTTCCTGTTCAGGCTTTCCTGTGGTTTTTTCCACAGATAAATGTCAGCTAGCAGAATTTCTGGTGATAAATTTGTAATGTCACTCATTAGCTTGGGACTCAAAGTGACCAGGTTGCAGCCCTTAAGAACTGTGCTGCTTTGCCAGTTTTTCCTTCAGTGCTGTGTTCCGTAATCATCTCAAGATTTCATCTTGAGCTGTGTCAGAAAGCAGAGGTCGTTATCTGAATCAGAGTGTTCCTGGTTCAAAATTGAAGTATACTGGTTATAGCTCAACTTGTTTACCATCTGACATCTTTGTATGCTTTTCCAGGAATGAATTAAAGACTTTAGTTTAATTCCTATTGCACAGCTATCTGTATCTCAGAAATCACTATTGCTGTTGACTACCTCAGCTGGAACAACGAGGATTGACTGTTGCTTGTATCTCAGCCAGCTTCCTTCTCTCCAGGAGCCAAATCCTGTGTTTGTTAAAGTTGATTGAAAGTATCCATTGTTGAATGGACATTGTGTCAAACTGCAGGATGATTCTTAGAGCCAAAAACTGAAGTAGTGTTATTTTTCAGTTATTTAGTTATTCAGTTTAATTTTCCTCACAGTCCTTGCTGCTAGTGCCTTTCTACACTTTGTTTTCAATCCTTTCACCTCCTTTTAGATTTGGTCTCTAAGCTAAGTCACCTGAATACAAACTGTAGTTGGCTTTGAAGGCTGGGCTTTCTTTGCCTCTTTGCATGAATTCTCTTCAGAAACTGTGGTCAGCACTGATCCTGTCTTTGTTTATGTTCACAGGAAAATATCCCTCAAAGAAAAGGGTGAAGAGAGATAAATGACATTTATTGTTCTGTCGAAAGCATAGGTAGATTTAATTTGCGCCAGAAACTGTGACTGGGAAGTGAGTCTGTGTCTGAGAGTCCATTTCTTCCTTTGTTCTTTGTTTCCTTTCTAGTTTCACAGCAGATCTTTTGTTTTGGTTTGGTTTTTAAGCTCTGCATAAATTTTCACCACGGGTTTCCTTCCCTGTTATTGCCAGCCGGCCCACTGATTAGGCTCGTGTTGCAGGCTTGTGTTCCTGCTAACTTCGTGGATTGTGTTGGAATCAGAAATCAAATATGTGATAATGAACGTAACATGCTTTTAAGTGTTGTGATGTTTAATGGGTAGATGTACATCGTGAAGATCTTTCTTGTTTACAGTTTGTGAGGAAGATGAATCATTCTTTGGGGAAAGGTTATAGTCATGTTGTAAATCACATTCTAAAAATGAAAGAAAAAATAAAATCCAGCAGTGATAAATAACTACCATCTGGAATCTGAACTATGTAATTGTATTACGGGCAACATGGTTTAGTGGTTGGAACTAATTGATCTTAAGGTCCTTTCCAACCCAAACCATTCTGTGATTCTATGATTGTGATTGGTCATCCACATAAGATAAGCTTTTGAGAATGTTTAAGTTGAAGATGTAGGCATAGAGAGATCCAAATGTGTTAAATACGTCAAGTAGTAAAGTTAAATGAAAGTGAAAAAGTACATTCCTTGTGATGTGGAAAGACTCCTAGAATCAAGAAGAGGGAATTCATTACAGCACAGCTGTATGGGAGTAGGTAGGTGTTGGGGTAGCTGTATAGTAAGTTTTACATTGTTTTTAAAAATAGGGCTCACTTTATTATTTGACAGATGAAAATGAATTTACATCGAAGAAGCCACTCAAATGCTTTTTGTGATTTAACTTTGGTTGATGTAGCTTCAAGATGCAGCAAGGGATGCAGATGAAATGTGTATGGGATTGTCCAGCTTTGAGAAATATTTATTACTGGAAGAAGTAGAGATTTCTGACAAAAGGCATTGGAACAAAACAAGAGAAGAAAGCCAGCTAAGAAATGGGAAAGCAGTGGGGGGAAAAAAAAAAGCAAAATGCCTTTAGAAGTAACTACTCTGAATCAACAGCACATAAATTTCTGCTTCTGCCAGCTGCCTACGCACTTTCTCTTTTAATAGAAAGAATCATCCTGGGTCTGAAACAAGTAGTGTGCGGAGCCATGGATTTACTAAGGAAGTGAGTTTCCTGTTTTAGTGGGGTTTAGCTTGCAATGCTGACTTCGTAATGGATTTCATCTCTTTAGGGTGGACATAACACACTAAAGTGGTAGAAGCAGCCTTTTATTTTTCCAAGGATGCTGCTCCAGTATAGAAGTGAAGCTTCAGTAGTAGCTTTATTATTTCCTTTCTGAATATATCAGTAATGAAACTTAGTTCTCGAAGAAGTCTTTTACAGACATTGGTTTATTCTCACTACGCTTCTGTAAGTGGTAGCAGCCCTTGGAATACAGTCATGTTTAGAACCTGAACAGATCTGGTACTGTGTCTCGTGCTCACTGCTTATGGCCAAGCTGTCAACTGAGACGTGTGTAGGGACAGACAGACAGGAAACTTGCAGAGATGGTTTGTTTTCTGGAAAACTGCTTAATTGATTAAAAGAGGTGGTTTACTGACAGCTGTTATTTCTGTTCCTTTCTTTTTAGCTGGTGTTGCCGGAGTACTCTATCCATAGTCTTTTCTGCATAATGTTTTTGTGCGCTCAAGAGTGGCTCACACTGGGGTTAAATGTTCCTTTGCTTTTTTATCACTTCTGGAGGTAAGCCCGTCTTTTATATGCTGACTGCTTGTTAGCCTTATTTGCCAACTCATCACATATGCAGATTGTATGAACTATGACATGCAGTGACAGGAGTATGGCTGGATATCTTTTACCTAGAAGCTTTTGCCTATAAGCAGCTGAAGTATTCACAGAGAAAAAGTAAATACTTCTGGTGAATGCTTAGGATGGGTACAGAAAACACATAACAATATGAATGTGGGTTTTAGTTACTAACTTAGGTAAACATTGCAAAGTGTGTCAGGATGCACTCGCCATCTGAATGAAAACTTGGAAATTAAGTAGGCTGGAATCTGAAAGTGGGATTTCGTGAAGCTCTAAATACTTACAGATAGGAAGTATTTACTTCTGAAGTACTGAACACAGAAGGCAATTCATATCTGGACCTCTTCATTCATCTCTAGCAAGGAAACCTTTTCATTTAAGTTGTGAAGTAGAGACTGGCAGATTGACAGAATTTTGCTTCTCATCTTCT